AAATTAAATGAAAGGTAGCAGAAAGAAGAAAAAAATCTTATAATGCTCTAATATCGACTCATTCATGTAATTAAGTGTTTTAATGATTTGGTTGTTTAATTGATAAAATGATGGACAGATTAATGGATTATTGAATTAATGATTAGTTTCATCACTAGTCTTTATTCAAACAAGATTACTGGAACTGAATGAAGAGAAGGAGGGAAACTGTGACGTTTCTTCACCTGAGAAACTAACCTGACCTCCTCTTGCTCCGCCCCCTCAGGAGCAGTTCAAAGTGGACCCTGACGGGGGTCTGACCAACCTCCAGTACCAGGTGGAGTCCCGGCAGGACCTGACCATCAGCGGCGCTCCGTGCACCATCATCAACACCAAACTGCAGTGTGACCAGAGCCAGACGCCCTGGTGTCTGCTGGGGTAGAGGGGGCGGGGCTTCTGGGAGGACCGCCCAGCACCGAAGGACAAACCAACCATGTGACTSTTTCAGGTACAGGAGTGACGGTTCTGATCCGAGGAGCTGAACCGGGTCAGAGTGGCGAGGAGCTGCTCCGTCAGGAAGTTTTATTGTTTTTCTTTTACGAACGGTCTGAGCTCAGCATCCGGACGGACCGGTCTTTCCTTTGGATCATGTTGGACATGAAGCGGACCATCAGAACCAGCTCTGACTGGTTTTACTGCTGGTGGTCCGTGAGGAGTCAGGGTTTGGACCTCCGCTCTCGGACAGAACATGTTTTTATTCTTCYTGTCAGTGTTAAAGTATCTTTTACAGCTGAGTTTGTAATAATTTAAAGAAAAACTGCAGAATAAAGAGTTCAGCTTCAGCAGCAGGTTTTTATCAAACACTGAGGAGAAGTTACCTGATGATGTCAGAGGTTAAACCAGGTGTTTCTGTGACCAGCCTCTGAGGGTCTGCTCATTACCCCTCCTTACCTGCTCCACAGGAGCCATGTTGGATCTGCACTTCTTCATTTATCCTTTCAGACCTGTCAGAATAAAATACATCCAAACTAATGTTTTCACAATAAAATACATCCAAACTGATGTTTTCACAATAAAATACATCCAAACTGATGTTTTCACAATAAAATACATCCAAACTGATGTTTTCACAATAAAATACATCCAAAAGAAACAAAAGGTTTTCATAT